GTAGTCAGCCATCTTGATTCTCAAGCAAAGGATTATGGGTAAAGTATGACATCATAGAATCTGTTGTCAGAAATTGAGAAAATTATTTCATCTATAACATGAGAAATACTGATGCGAATTAGTTCAAATTTTCGTTGTGCATATTACTCATGTATATAATTATAGTAATGGAAATGGAATTTTACAAATACACATAAAATGGATATATTGTTAAAAACGTTAAAAAAATAAAAATCAATATTTTAGTTGTGAAATATAGAATGTCACTTTTTGTCCTCTTTTTGTGCTCAACATGTGATATATCACCTATATAACCTACTCACATTGGTAAATTGTATACAATATAAGGAAATTTTAGCATTTGGTAGAAAAACATAAAAATAAATATTTTCAGTTCTGTATGCTACCAATTTCTAAACTTTCAGCCAATTTGAAGTTCAACTTTTGAAGTTATAGATGAAATCATTTTCTCAATTTCTGACAACAGATTCTATGATGTCATACTTTACCCATAATCCTTTGCTTGAAAATCAAAATGGCTGACTACGTAATAATGATGAAAAGTGGAATATCTAGAGAATGAAAAGTGATACAACAAAACTGTAAATTGCATTCTCCTACATTTGTGGAGCTTTTTCTTTAGGGGTCATTATGTTGTTTGGATTGAGGTTCCCTTTAAGGGTCATGAATAAAGAACCAGGATGTGTGACCTTTAGGGGTCATGAATAAAGTACCTTTAAGGGTCATGAAAAAAGTACCAGGATGTGTGACCTTTTAAGGTCATGAATAAAGTACCAGGATGTTTGACCTTTAAGGATCATGAATAAAGTACCTTTAAGGGTCATGGAAAAAGTACCAGGATGTGTGACCTTTTAAGGTCATGAATAAAGTACCAGCGCGTGTCAAGGCCCACAAAATCTACTAGTTCTACTTTGTAAAGAACTTTATACAGATACAAATACAGTTGATTAATTTACTAAATACATACCTAGAAAATAAGAAAACTTTAAAAAAAGAGTTAAATAATCCGCGAGTTAATAAAATTCTTGATCTAATTGTTCTAAAATACAAAAATAAATTGCTATGATACAGTATATACACGAAATAGTCATGATTTAATTTTTTTTAAATATGGTATTAATTTGCATAGTATATGCAAAGAAGCATTACATTGTGTCATGATAATAAAATATATTAAGTTTTGATTATATTTATTCGAATTGTATTGCATTAAATTATGATTTGTATGTAAATGTAAGACATGTTTGAAACTAGCGTAGACCTGTGTATAGTGACATAGGATGTGACGTGATGACATCATAGTGATCATGTGACATGAATCAATGTACACCATGATAGATATTGTTAAATACAGATCTGTTAAAGTGAGTTAGTGCATTACAGACATGGTTTAATTTAAAGGGCGGCAGTCGTCGTGCCGTGTCCTGTTTGATATGGGGCTCATAGCAACGTACACAACGCGTGTAAAAGACATTGTTTATTTACACGAAATTTGAACACGCACTGCGCGACAGTCGTTGCGCCGCGTCCTGTTCGATATGGGCCTCATAGCGACGTATACAACGCGTGTAAAACACATTGTTTATTTACATGAAATTCAAACACGCGCTGCGCGACAACCACCGCCCTTTAAACATTATCCTGTATGTATGGATTTATCCTGAGATACTGATTCACTATTAAAACGTCTGACAATTATATTTCGTCAAGCGCTGCCATGTGAGCACCAGACACATTTTTATCTCTTTTTAATCTTTCAGCTGCTGCTACCAAAACCTGAAATGAAAAAAAAAACCATGAATACTTATTAAAGACCATGCATAATAATGTTGGTTTTCTATTGGTCAGTAAAAGACAATCATATCATATGGTTTTCCTAATGCCCATATAAAGGCATACATGCCATGTGATAACCTTATTATTATTATACATCTATTTCCTGTTTGTATGGTAATAATTTAATGAGAGATATAATGGTCTTCCTAATGCCCATATAAAGGCATACATGCCATGTGATAACCTTATTATTATTATTATACAGCTATTTCCTGCTTGTATAGTAATAATTTAATGAGAGATAAGTCTGAAATAGCAACAAAAACGTTTCACAATGTATGAACATTTGCGTTCAGTGATGGGATTCTATTTCCTTCACCTGCTTGCTACGTCGGAAGTCAACAAAGAAAGTGTTCGAATGTGACGCATTATTTCCGAATAAGGAAGATTTGAATTCATCCAAAAACTATGTTCTCGTGTCAGTTGTATAATATGAGGTTATTACGAGGATACCTGAAAGTATGCACGAACACAGTATAGCGGGAGTATGCACGTTGGTCAATGCAATGTTGTACTGTCTTCGTGCATACTTTGAGGTATCCTCATAATAACCTTATTATTATACATCTTTTTGATCCAAGGATACATCATGGGAATGCCGAAATCCAAAACGTTTAGAACAGACTCAGCAAACTTCTTTGTGTGGAGTCCAGTCAAAACCCTGATAGCAGCCATGTTTGTTTTTATTAATTCAGGACGCTTACGCATGTAATCATTCCATATTTGGAATTTGCATTTCTTAATATGATAGGATGAAAATACCGCAGAAAATTATGGCACGCTGTAAATTATGGCGTGACAGACGAATTATAATGCCATATGTTTCAAAGCTGAACAATAAACATTGATTTATAAAATATATACATTGTACATATTTCCTATACTCACATCATCGGCTCGTTTTAATCCCCTGTGGTAATTTCCTCGAGGGACTATAAGTTGCGAAGTTTCATAATCATCTGGGAACAAATCATATCGCCTTTCTCTGTCTGTCGGCGTGTCCAATGGTGCTTCTCTTCTGTGTCGCCGTGGAAATGCATTGTTAAGATAGTCATCCCCTCTTGGTAAATGACGAGGTTCCTAAACAAAAGAGTTAAAGGACAACTTCAGTCGAATGGTTCTGATTAATTTCGTTTTCTGAAATGCATGCAGCAATACTTTTGCTGGCATGGATAAAGACAGCTACTGTAAACCTAGTTAAAACAGCAATTTGACTCAACGCAAGAGTTAAAAGAATCTTAATTTAGCTAAAGTGTCAACTATCTCATTCTGACAGTATACTTTTTGTTAAATTAGTGAAATCTTGAATTAGAAAAATTACAGATTACCTAGATTAGCTTAAAAATAACATGCTAGCTAAAAAGACGTGGTTTACAGTATTTTCATCCTCAGCAGAAGCCCAATTATAAATTACCTTACATAATTCTGTTTCCTATTCATGATTTCTTGACATAGAATGCAAATACCAACATAAATTGCCAAAGATCTTTTTTACAGCAATTAAAATCTGTTTTAAGGTAGCGAGAAGGTTTTGTGACGTTTTTAAATAAAACATTCTCTGTCTGTTGTCTCGTTCAGAACAGTAATTTAGGTTATATATATCAAAAGACTAAGTATAGAGGTGCAAGTTCGCACAAACTGGACAGACATTGTTTACATAATTATCACGTGACATCAAAAATGGCGAACCTTGTAAAAATGATTGCGAGAGCACACTGCGGAATTTCCTGGTGAAATTTAAATTATGCATTGTTCGTAATCAAGTGCATTGAAATGCGTCTCCGATAATCAAAAGACCTATTATTCCGATTTCTATGCAGGTTTGTTTTTTTGTCCCCAAATTATTTCATACTTGGCACCTTTAACAGACTATTATTCTGTGACAAAGCATTTTCTTTAAAAACCCAGACATATTTCGCACCATCATTATCTTTTGAACAATAACTGTGAGT